CGGGAAGTCTGACGTTTTTAAGTTGTGAGAGGGCCTTCAGAGTTTAGAGGGGATTCTCAAAAACTGACTCCCCAATCCTTAGATTATTTCTTTCTCCTGCAGGGTATGTACTACCTTGAGGAACATGGTATGGTGCACAGGAACCTGGCTGCCCGAAATGTGTTACTCAAGTCACCCAGTCAGGTTCAAGTGGCAGATTTTGGTGTGGCTGACCTGCTGCCACCTGATGATAAGCAGCTCTTACACAGTGAGGCCAAGGTGAGGTGACACAATGGCTGGGAAAGGAGGTGGGGTGGAGTGAAGCAAGGGGAAAGGGAGCAGTCAGTGGTCTCTTTCTGAGGTAAGCAGATACTTTATGGTGAATTCAAGGAGAGGAAACTGGAGATGCCAGAAATTTAAGTTCAGAGAGCAACAAAGAAAAAATATGATAGATAACTTGGGGCTTGGAAATGCTAAGAGATTTATGGAAATCAACTGGTGGCACCTTTATCTTTAATCCTCAGACTCCAATTAAGTGGATGGCCCTTGAGAGTATCCACTTTGGGAAATACACACACCAGAGTGACGTCTGGAGCTATGGTCAGTGCATCTGGGTGACCTCTATATAAAATCCACAACTGCCTTTTGAGTCACCTCCTCTTATAAACTATAAGCCTTTCAGATCCTTGTATCAGATCAAGTTCTGCTTTCCCTTTACATCGTGCCCATGTCTACTGTTTTTGTACTGACAAGTCAATTTCTTCCTGTACCAGGTGTGACAGTTTGGGAGTTGATGACCTTTGGGGCAGAGCCCTATGCAGGGCTCCGACTGGCTGAAGTACCAGACCTGCTAGAGAAGGGGGAGCGGTTAGCACAGCCCCAGATCTGCACCATTGATGTCTACATGGTTATGGTCAAGTGTGAGTTACCTGTTGACCTCAGCCATTTCTGACTTCCCTCCCTATTCCTCTATGGCTGTATTCCCTTTTCTCATACTACCTGCTCCATCTTACCCCCAGGTTGGATGATTGATGAGAATATTCGCCCAACCTTTAAAGAACTAGCCAATGAGTTTACCAGGATGGCCCGTGATCCACCAAGGTATCTTGTCATAAAGGTGAGTAGGGACTAGGAGATTTCAAGGACATTTAGAGAAAAGAGAACTTGGCTGGAACCTGGATCAACCGTAACAATCACCTTCCCCTATAGAGAGAGAGTGGACCTGGAATACCACCTGGGGCGGAGCCCCCTGCTTTGTCAAACAAGGAACTGGAGGAAGTAGAGTTGGAGCCAGAACTTGACCTAGACCTAGACTTGGAGGCAGAGGAGGACAGCCTGGCAACCACACTGGGCTCTGCCCTCAGCCTACCAGTTGGAACACTTAGTCGGCCACGTGGGGTAAGACACCTTCTAATTGCCCAAGATACTGTGTGCCCTGAGCCCTCATTAACCACATAGATACCAGATTAACTAATCAAAGGATCCTATGGTAAAAATAGATTTCTCTCTTCATTTTAACCTTTCATTAGTTTTTTCATTCTAGAGCCAGAGCCTTTTAAGTCCATCATCTGGATACATGCCCATGAATCAGAGTAACCTTGGGGAGGCTTGCCAGGTAAGGTCTGCTGCGGAGGGGCAGGGTGGCAGAGTCTTAGGGATTTGATAGGGTTGATAGGGGTAGTGTGGGAGACATTAGAAACCTTTAAGGTTGAATCTGTATCCTGAAAAAATGAAGGAACTGAACATCCTAACCTTCTAAACAAACATCTCCTTTCCTCATCTTTGTATAAATCTCCTTATATTATTTTCCTCCTTAGGATTCTGCAGCTTGTGGGGGAAATGATTGGTGTCCCCGTCCAGTCTCTCTGCACCCAGTGCCACGAGCACGCCTGGCATCAGAGTCATCAGAGGGCCATGTGACAGGATCTGAGGTTGAGTTCACAGAGAAGGTGTCAATGTGTAGAAGCCGGAGCAGGAGCCGGAGCCGGAGCCCACGGCCACGTGGAGATAGCGCCTACCATTCCCAGCGCCATAGCCTGCTTACTCCTGTCACCCCACTCTCCCCACCAGGGGTAGAAGAAGAGGATATCAATGGTTACGTCATGCCAGATACACACCTCAAAGGTGCCTGACTTTTCCATGGCTTTCCTCAAATCTTCCTCTAATCCTTTATCAGAGGTCCTGTTAATTCTTTCTCTTCTCTGATCACATCCCTCTCTATTCATTTTTTCTAATTTACCCTACCCATTTCTGCCCATTGCCATGAAGTTCACATTCCTGTTCTTTCTTCTCAATCCTAGGTACTTCTTCCTCCCGGGAAGGCACTCTTTCTTCAGTGGGTCTCAGTTCTGTCCTGGGTACTGAAGAAGAAGATGAAGATGAGGAGTATGAATACATGAACCGGAAGAGAAGGCGCAGTCCATCTTGTCCTCCTAGGCCTGGTTCCCTTGAGGAGCTGGGTTATGAGTACATGGATGTGGGATCAGACCTTAGTGCCTCGCTGGGCAGCACACAGAGTTGCCCACTCCACCCTGTGCCCATCATGCCTACTGCTGGCACAACTCCAGATGAAGACTATGAATATATGAATCGGCGGCGTGGTGGAAGTGGTCCAGGTGGGGAATATGCAACCATGGGGGCCTGTCCAGCATCTGAACAAGGGTATGAAGAAATGAGAGCTTTCCAGGGACCTGGACACCAAACTCCTCATGTTCGTTATGCCCGCCTCAAAACTCTACGTAGCTTAGAAGCTACTGACTCCGCTTTTGATAATCCCGATTATTGGCATAGCAGGCTTTTCCCTAAGGCTAATGCCCAGAGAACATAACCTCTGCTCCCTGAGACATTCAAGGAGCATTTGATGGCAGCTAGTGCCTCTAGAGGGTACCCCTCTTCTCTGTACTCCCTCTCCCCTTTTCAGCCCTATTTCTCCAGTCATAGACAATTCCATTCAACCCTTTGGAGGCTTTTAAAGACTTTGACACAAAAATTTTGTGGTATGTACCTGGCTGTGCACTTTCTTCTCTTTCCCAACCCCAGGAAAGAAGAAGGTTTTCCTATTTTGTGTGCTTTTCCAATCCCATTCCTCAGCTTCCTCAGGGGGAACACCCTGGAGATATGAAGGATCACTCCCCTGGTCCCTTTCTCTCAGGCTCTTACTTATTTGGATTAGACTGTTATGTGTGCTTTTACTTCCCATCAGACTGTCCTAAGGAAAAGATAGGGGGAAACCTGGAAGAGGAAAGTAAATTTTTGGTTTATGACTCTTAAGCCTCTGGAAAGACTGGGAAGCTTAAAATTTTGTGGAATGAAGAAACAGGAGATACTACTATCAATTGAGCATTTATTATGAGCCAATCATCATGCTAAACTTTGCCTACATTATCTCACATAATCCTTTTGAATCATTACAATTTTGTAAGGTAGATTTTATCTCACTTTACTTATATAGTAGTTCCATCAGGTACTCTAGTGAAACTGGGAGTAGGTAGTAGCATACCTGTAATCCAAGTAACTCAGGAGGCTGAAGCAGGAGGATCACAAGTTTGAGGCCAGCCTGGACAATTTAGTGATACCGTCTCAAACAAAATGAAAAGGTCTGGGGATATAGCTCAACAATAGAATACCTCTGGGTTCAATCCTTAGTACCAAAACCAACAACAACTTAAAACCCAGTCAATTCCTGAAAATGCAAATAGTACCAAGCCCTATAATTTAATGCCTTTTCCATCTTAACTAAGCATTTATGCATTATGGCCATAAGTTTTGCAGTTGGAAGCATGACAGCAAAACTAGTACTAATTTCCTTTCCCCTTTCACAATTTCAGATAGTTATGTTCTTACCATGAATCTTAGCAACCTTAGCATATTATTCTTTTTCTTTCCTTATTGAGGACTTTCATCTTTTCATTTTAAAGGAAGTCTTTTATGGCTTCTATTTGGCATGTCTGAATTATTAGCACCACAGCTCTTGTGCTTTGGGGCTATTATTAAGTAAAATAAGGGTAAACAATCACTGTGATACTACAAAAGTCTAATGGAGGACTGCTAAGTGACAAAGGGGCAGGTAGCCTATACTGTGTGTGGATACACTGGGCAAAGGGGTGATTCACCTCTCAGGACAGCAGGATGGTGTGCAATTACATCATGCAACTCAGAATGGTGTACAGTTTATATAAATTATTTATTTTCCATTTATCATCTTCAACCTGTAGTTGACTACAGATAATGAAATTGCAGAAAGAAAAACCGTTAAGTGGGGACTGAGCTTTGAAGAAATTAATGAAGCAGCAGATGGAAGAGTCAAAATTTTTTCAGTCCCAGTGCATTCACTCTTATAAGGTGTCAAGGAAAACTGTATGATGGAGCCCTTGTAAAAGGCATTGTTTTCTTGGTTTTGCACTGAATTAAACCCAACCCCAATAGCCACATCCTCATTCTACACTCAGATTTGTGCTTTCAGGAAGTGTGTATGCATGGCGCGGCGGGCTCAGAAAGAAATACAACTGGACACTTTGTGTAGACCATAGCTCATTTGTGTTGTCAATGATCTCCACTCCTTATGAACTGATTCACAAAGGTCTCCAAGACGCACTTTCAGGAGCTATTCTGATCCAGTAATGAGAAGCTTTCAGGTGGAACATAAAGAAGTCCTATCTTCAGACCTCTGTCCTCTTAGATGGGACTGGGGAAAAATGTTGTATCAGTGAAGTTTTTTGTTTTGTTTTTATACATGTCTGAATAAAAATGCCCAAGTTTTTTCAACTTCCTGTTTGTCAAATGAAAACTTTGTAAGATAAGAAAGCATTCCTTTTCTTTGCTCCTCAGAAGTGAATAGCTGCTTTTCTCTGTCTCCAGACATTCCTACTCTATCCCATCCAACTTTCTCCAATACCATTTTTATTTGTATTCCTTTAAAGCAATCATGGAGGACAGTCTTTTTTTTTTTTTTTTTTTAAGGGTTTTACTAGGACTCATTACACAGGCAACAACTAGGAATAACAAAACAAAAAACCACATGCTTTGGAAAGTTAGAAAAAGCTTTATAGATGGGCTTTCTCCTTCACAAGTGTAATAATGAAACCTAGGATACTTAGAACAGTTCTCTTTAGAGTGAACAAATCTCTCTTCTTGAACATTTCCCTGAGGTGTTCCATCAAAGGCTATTGTTGGAATAATAAATGCCATCTTCTGTGGGAGTCTGGAGCCTCAGCGTAGGGAGGACATAGTAAAGAGACAATCCCTCGGAGTCTGGCTGCCCAAGTTGGCCTCGCTGCCCAGTCCCTGCTCTCAGCACCCTTCCTTGTCCTTCCACGTCCGCTGTGCTCCTCCCCAGCATTCGAGGACGATTAGACCGGCTGGGCCGGTCGCGCCTGTAGATCCAGAGACCAAAGGCTGCGCGCCCAGGCTCCCCGCCCTAGGTGTAGACATTGCCCATCCACCTCGGCCCCACCCTGCCCCTACCGACTCTAAACCCATTCCCCGCGCAGCTCCGCCCCTACTTCCTCAGCCCGCCTCCTTCTGTTACGGGCTCCGGGTCAGCGCTCGGGTGGATGTGGTTTTTCCCGGAGAGACCACGCTTTCCTTCATGCTCCCCAACGGCTCCGCCTTCCCGCCGGAGCCTGACCCTTCCCAGCGTGCCCGGCGATTCCGGCGTGCTAGGCCCTGGGAGGGCAAGGCCCCAGGGCCTGGCGGAGGGGCGCGAGGGGCAGGCTGGGAGTTGTAGTTCTCCTGTGCACGAGGGCAGCTGGAGGCTGGCGGAAGGCTGGACTCGTTGTCCCAGCGTGCTCTGCGCCTCTACCCGCGCGCTCGCAGCTTCTCGCTCTCGCTGCTTGCCCGCCCGCTCTCTTGCTTGCTCGCGCTTTCGCTCGCGCTCTGCTCGCGGATCGAGGAGGCTTTGGCCACTGCGTGCGGCCGTGAAGGGAGACAGGCGGCGGCTCAGGGGAAAGGAGGCTGCATTGGTGGTGGTAGTAAGAAGATGTCGGGCGAGGACGAGCAGCAGGAGCAAACTATCGCCGAGGACCTGGTCGTGACCAAGTATAAGATGGGGGGCGACATCGCCAACCGTGAGTGCGGCCTCAGGGGTCTGGGAGTCGAGGCTGAGAGGGAGAGGTGCCGGTCTATCCCCAAAGGGGCTGGAGCGGCGGGGTCTTGCGGAGTGAGCTACCGAGGGGCGCGCACCGGCCCGCGGGGGGCGGCGTGGTGGGAAGACCCGGTGTCGCGCCGGGGACGCAGTGGCCCGGCCTGGGCTGGAGTCTGGAGGTGCGGGCCTGCGTCCGGGAGGAGAGCAGAGAGGGGCCCCCGGCAGGCCCAGACTCTAGGCCGTTGGTAAGGAGGCAAGGCGCGTCCTTTACAGCCCCTCACCCTTCACTCCTGTTCTCAGCCTTCTCTGGTTCTGGCAGCAGCGAGGCCACCTCCAAAAGGAAGCGCCCAGCTGCTGGCGTCAGAAGCACTCTGTTTTGTTGCGGTTCCCGGCGGTCCGGCGCTGAGCCGGCACGTGTTGCTTAGACCCCATGCGAGTCGCTGTCTTCTCTCTTCCTTTGCTACAGTCCCTGACACCAGCTTCCACCACGTGCTTTACTAGAGCCTTTCCTTCTTTACTTCGGCTTTTACCCTGGTGGGGGCCCCCTTTTACCCTAGGTTTAGCACTGGGGACCGTTGGAAAGCACTCCTGGACCTTCTGACACAACTCCTGGAGATAATGTCTGCTTTTCTGGAAGTTATTCATTTTTACCATCGCTCCAATCTGTGCAGATGGCCTTAGCCTTTAAATTTGATTGTTCTCAGGGATTTGACAGTGTTTTGAGGTTCTGCTCTCCTTCCAACTAGGCAAGTTTGTGAACAGTACTAGAAAAGGGGAGACTGATTATAGAATTGTCATAAGTTGTCTTTATTCCATTTGTTTTCTGAGCAGTTGCCTGCTACTCTGGACAGATGTCTCACTTTCTGTTTTCTCTCTTTCCAATTCCACTTTTAAAATTTAAAACCTACTTAGGGAGATAGAAACTGCTTGTCCTTGAACTTTTTAAGTAATTTGACAGTAAAGATATTTGGGAGGAGATATCTGGAATGCTTTTAGTCCTGTGGCTGAAAATTTCAGGTTTTATGGCTTCCAAACAATCATCAAAACAGATCTCAAAAATCAAACCTAAGGGGCTGGGGATGTGGCTCAAGTGGTAGTGCACTTGCCTGGCATGAGTGCAGCTAGGGTTCGATCCTCAGCACCACATACAAATAAAGATGTTGTGTCCCCCGAAAACTAAAAAATAAATATTAAAATTCTCTCTTAAAAAAGAATCAAACCTAAATTTCAGGATGGATGATAATAGGAAATGAATAGACTCCTTTTTGATGTGTTTTAGTGTTGATACTCATGGTTTAAATCTGAAAAAAGAAGTTTTTCCTCTTTCTTGCAATGCAGAATTTGAAGCACTGGTGATCTCAGGTACCAATTTTGAAATTGAGATCTCATACCTCTTTGAGATCTACTGAAAGTTATAGCCCACGAGCCCCCCTGGAGCTCAGGATCCTTAGATTAAGTCCCCTTGGCTTATATACTTATTTATGAAGAAAAAGTCTACATATAATTGCGATTACTAACACCTAATTAGAGTGACGAGGAGAGAAGAAGGTAACATTTAACAGTGCATCAGCTTCGAGTCAGCAATTCTGTCTACCTTCCCATTGTCTCTGATGCCTATAAATTTCTTCTAATCTGCTTGGCATGTATGTGGGGTACCTTGGCAAGAGCCTGCTGAACTTCATAATTCTATCTTAACACACAAAGGGATCTTTGGAAAGTTTGAGGCCTTGCCTAAGGAGACAGATTACATATACCCAGTTGTCACATAATGTGAGGGAGAAAAAGGAGTGTTGGGTTTTTCTATTTTTAGAAAAAGAAGGTAGAAATTAGAGATTGTAAGTAGATAGATTCCAAGAGTCAAGAATTGTTTTCTCCTTCAACGTCAGGACAATGACACTAGGGAGTATTAAAATTTTTGAGTCCAACTTGGGTGGTAACTAGATAATAAATATATGCACAGCTGAGATGGTGGTATTGTGTCCCCAGGGGTACTTCGATCTTTGGTGGAAGCATCCAGTTCAGGTGTGTCGGTACTGAGCCTGTGTGAGAAAGGCGATGACATGATTATGGAAGAAACAGGGAAAATCTTTAAGAAAGAAAAGGAAATGAAGAAAGGTAAGGAAAAAAAAAAGATTCCCTCCCTAATTTACCAAGTTTGACCCTTATTTGGTCCTCTGTTTTTGTTTTATCCATTGTAATTGTGTGATCCCCACCCCAGCTATGTTTGAGGTATTTGAAAATTTGGAGTGCCAGGTAGGATAGCGTTTCCTACCCAATCCAAACTTACTGAGCTTAAGCAAGTCCCTGGAAAAAAAACTAAAAAACAAAGAACTTTTCATTTTTCTAAAGGAAAACAGGGCTCTGGAGAGAGAGCAAGATAGTAAGGCTGGTGATTCTTTTTACAGGTATTGCCTTTCCTACCAGCATTTCGGTAAATAACTGTGTATGTCACTTCTCCCCTTTGAAGAGTGACCAGGACTATATTCTCAAGGAAGGTGACTTGGTAAAAATGTAAGGTTAAACCATTCTAGAGTATTTGTTTTTTTCCTGAGCATTTACATAGTGCCAGTTCCAATGCAGTGCTCTGCTCTTGCCTTTCAGTGACCTTGGGGTCCATGTGGATGGCTTCATTGCTAATGTGGCTCATACTTTTGTGGTTGGTGTAGCTGAGGTAGGTGCCCTGTTCTTGAACTCTACTCAGTCTTGGTGGGGAGATGTATTATCATTTGCCTTTTATCCCCATCTTCTAGTACATCCATTTTGACAGTGCCTAGAAAAAGGGTTTTTTTCACATGTTTATTGGTTGGCCTTGTATATAAGTACAGAAATATATTAGCTAAATAGCCAGCTGCATTAGCAAGCTTTTCAGGAAATCACTGTTTGTTTATATTTCCTTATCTACAGGGGACCCAAGTAACAGGACGGAAAGCAGATGTCATTAAGGCAGCTCACCTTTGTGCTGAAGCTGCCCTGCGCCTGGTCAAACCTGGAAACCAGGTAAGGTGTTTTCTCTTAACTCAAACCTTGATAGAACCAAAGATGCATTAGACATCTATAGCTACTATGTGTGGAATTGTATCTTTTTTTTTTTTTAAATTGTGTCTTGAAATGGAATTTCTTAAAGAGGAGAGGCAGTAACTAAAGTGCTTGATACTAAACAGCAGTTTAACTATGAGTACCTATCACAGACAGTATCTGGGGATATATGAGCCCATATATGGATATATGGAGCCAGCCTATAGTGGTCCTTTCTTGTTTATATGTGCATCTTTCTCAAAAATATGAGCTAACAGTAAAACAAATTTTTTAAAACCCCAACTTAAAAGCTTATAAAAGTCATAAAAATAATAGGAAAGAGACAATAGTACCAATACACTGATGTCAAAGAGAGGACAAAATTTGTTCTGCTCTTTAAGTTCACTCAACCACTGATCCACATCCCCAGCCCTATTTTGTATTTTTATTTAGAGACAGGGTCTTACTGAGTTGCTTAGCACCTCGCTTTTGCTGTGGCTGGCTTTGAACTCTTGATCCTCAGTTCTCATGAACTAAAAGAATTAAACAGGTTATCAATAGAGATATTTCCAGAGACCCATTTAATACTTAAAAGCATTGGTGCCCCCCCCCCCTATTTTGGTATTGGGCATCCAATCCAGTACTTTACACATGCTATGTAAGCACTCTATCACTGAGCTGCTACTCCTGCCCCAGCATTATCTTTTTTTTTTTTAATATTTTATTTACATTTTAGTTTTTGGCACACACAACATCTTTCTTTGTATGTGGTGCTGAGGATCGAACCCCGGCCGCACCCATGCCAGGCGAGCGCGCTACAGCTTGAGCCACATCCCCAGCCCCGCCAGCATTATCTTTTAAAAATTTCTTTCTTTGTACTTTTTTTTCCTCGCATTTTTAATTAATTTGTACTTCATCCTCATTTAATTGCATTTTTTCCTACTGTTTAATTTCCTTATAATGATATCTAACTTTAGAGTTGTTATAGAACCCTTTAAACTCTGCTGCATGTATAGTAAACTCCTGAATTAGGTGTTAGTTTTATTTTATATATTTATATATGTGATATATTTTCATAGGAAGGTGGTATTGTGGCTGCTGTTAACTGAAATCAGATGGGTTCTTTACCCTATCATCAACTCTTATTGATTAAAATAATCTTGAACTCAAATCTTGAACTCATCTGTGAAATGGGAAAAATAAAATTTTGCCTTGTTTGCAGAGTTGTGAGAATGAATTTGGGGGGGTCTAAATTAGTAGCTTAGGTGAGGATCAGATCACATGTGAAAGAGGTAAAGAAGAAAAAAGGTCTTGCTGTCCCCTTTCAACGGATAAAATGACTGACATAAAGGAATAAAAACTGGACTTCACAACAGAAAAACCCAGGTTTATGATCAGGTTCTTCCTTGTTTAACCTTGGGCAAGTCAGTCAGTCTTTCTAAGCCTCAGTTTCCTCATCTTCTGTATAGATATAGTTCTGTCCTTTTCCCCTTTGAGAATTGTTCTCATTAGATCATCTTTGTGAAAGTGTTTCATAGAATAATATGTAAATATAAGATTTTTAGCCTAGGGATGATGAAATGAAAAACCAATGAATGAGAATTGTTGGCACTTGAAGG